TTATAACTGCACCGATATCGAATTTTAACACTCAAATCGCGATCAGTTCCTGAACTGAACATTGATAACACAATGGCGATAACCATCCCCGCATAAATCGATTTCTATTCGTGACCGTAACATGATTTCAAATTTTATTTTATGACTCTTTAGTCAATCATAAAACTCGGTTAGTAAAAATTACCCAATACGAACCGCCAATATAGTACACGTGGACTAGTTCCCTGCCGGTTAATTTCTATCTATTGGTTTTTTTGGCTTTCGAGAGTGCCGCCACTTTTAAATGTGCACAATATCGTTTACTTCTACTATACCAATACTCTCAACAGAGATAAAACCATTGCTCATGTATAAAATTCTCAATGGTGACGCTGACTTATGTGATGGCATCGGTGATACTTGATGAAAATTCAAAACGTATTCAAGAAACATTTTATTGTAAACTAAACTTTATTTCTTATCGTTATCGAGAGTGAATTTCAATATAAATGTTCATTCCACTAGGTATCCTGCTTTGTTCAGCATAAAATTTCATAACATCAACTATGATCCATTGTCTCGTATCCTTCGTAATTTCAATAATAATAGAATCGATCCTGTAACTTTCATGAGACCTTCTAAAAAGGTATATTCAATTAAATTTCAAATTAATTAAACGACGATAGACCGCAATATCTCTAGTGGAACCACATTCATCTCTTACGAGTGTACTATGTTCTTCCATTGGCTAAAACGTCCTTTCTTACTAGGCACGCGTAAGCGAACTATAGACTGATGTGAGTGCCCTTCGCGGAATCGGTACTTCGTTTATAATTTCTAGAATATCTGAAAGGACTAAAAACAAAAATATTGAAAATTTTCCAAAACTTATATCGTTATCTATGATACTGCTACTCCTATTTAAATACCAAATTGCTACTAATGTAAGTATAAAAATTGTCCTTTACTTGACTACCTACTTTATCGTATAAAGGCCAAACCAAAAACATAATTGAGCTGCTACTACCTTGCAAAGTGCTACGGGATCTAAAGGTACATCTAAAATAACTACACCCATCTATTTGTCGTTTTCGAAGAACTTTTCAGCTATTCAATTTTTACTTTGTTGGCCTTTTACGTGTTCTCTACTTTATTGAAATCGTTATTATATCTAAGAAATAATATTGGTCTTAACACGAATCTCTGCGGAACTCTTATATCAAAAGGAGACTATAATATTTCTTCTTCCCTTCTCCTCACTTGTTTACTTTGTATTAAATGTTCAAGAAGTAGCAAAAACGTATGTGAATTTCTGGAACTTCAACTATCATTTTCTAATATGACTAATAACCAGTCCGTGCAAAGTTTATTGTTAGATCATTTGAAAATGGAAGTTTTAACAGGTGATGATCGACTGTATTGCCAAACATGCGCCAAACTAACTGACTGTTATAAGAAAACATGTGTAGCTCAGGCACCAAATATCAAATAACAATGATGATGTTCAAACATGACTCAACCTCTGACGGAAGCACCAAATTCTTACAAAGGTTTGAAATAGATGAACTCTTCAATCTAGCAGACCACTATTATAATCTTCATGCATTCATTGTTCACTGTGGTTAACGACATCATATTGATAATAATAATCTGTAGAGAGGTGAAATATCATAATTTGAAAAAAAATATTCAGCATCAATGTATAGAGTACAAAATTATCTATCGACCAGTATGTTCCACAACACAGTAGACTAAATATTGGTTGAGATATGAAGCTACAAAAATACATGACATTCAAACGGATAAAACCTTCGAAAACAACATCATCAATTATCCTATAGCAGTCCTCTTCAACTTCGTAGGATAGGTTAGGTTATAAGTTAGGTTATTGACGAGATAATTTTTTCCTCAATATCATAGTGTAACGAACCTGAAGCCGCCTCTGACCGATATTTCGGCCAGCGAACAAACATATAACATCACCGCAAAAGGAATACAGTCGGCAACCGCCGGTTAAACTCTATTCGAGAACCGAAACGACTACAGAATTCTAGAACGATCGTTACCAATATATAAAGCCGGCTTCTCGTCCCAAGAGGGCAGTTGCAAGGGTAAGGGAGCCAAGCTCCAACCTGTTTGAAATTAAGATGGCTGTCGAAAGAGGGCAGTTGAGTTCAGAAAGTGAATCGAGCGGTTAAACAAGGAATTCAAATAGTGGAAATAAATTAAGCGTTAGTTGAATATAAATTAGTTTGTGATTAGTGAAATATTGTTAGAAATAAATTTGTTTAAGACAGTAAATTCTTTAATTTGTTACCATAGCATAGGTTAGGTAAATTAAATTGATTCTTGATAAAAAAAAATTAAAAACCTGACAGTCTGTAGAGAATGTGAGAGACAATAGTATGAGAAAAATGAACGCAGTTCGTCAAATGTTTACGTAATCAGCTGTCTTCAAATTTGGGCAGGGCCGTTTATATTTGTACACAAAACAGATAGAAAAAAAATCTGAAGATGAAGTGATTGTAGTTGCTAAAGCTACATATAAAATATTCGAACTACTATTTTTGTTTTCAATATGTTGAAAAATCTGTTTTCTTTAACCAGCTATCGCACCCTACAAACGATAACTGTTCAGAAGTCGAGCCAAGGATTAACGAGGTATTGCCTTTTAACGTGTGATTTCTAACACGAGAAAATCATACTTGGCGTTTATCGTTATTAGTTTGGTAATAAAATGGGTGTTTAATGCTAGACAGTTTGAATATAATTCAATGAGGCAAATTTTTATTTTCAGCATTTCACCAAAAAGGTCGCTAAACAGTTGAAACTTTTGGAGAAGTAAATCTCAAGACATTTCTTCAAAATGTCAATTCATCAAAATTTGTATATTTTTACTCTGTTTTATCGATAATTCTGTTAATTTCAACTCAGATAACCCGCGAAGGAATATGATTTTGATGACAGTTACTAAGCATATCTGTCCTGGGGTACGAATTATGTATCACCATCCAATAAATTTCAAATACGAGTAAAAAATAAAAACATCTGTAAAATAAATATCAATTTTTCTTTTTTTTTAATTTACTTTGGTAATGATAAGATCAAAGATAAGAAATTGCAACGTCATGTGCAGACAGGTAGCCATACATGGCCTTTCCAGAGGAACAGGTAATTCTGGCGGAAAACCTTAGGGTAAACAGACTAATAAAATAATTGAAAATTGAATTCATTTCAGTATGGCCAACATAAACGAAACACAATATATGGATTTGATACTAAATGATATATTTGATGTAACACTGCTTGAGGAATTAGAAAGTTCAAAATAATTTGATAGACTGTGAAAAAAATTAATACCTATGGTAAAGTCTTCTAGGAAGACTGAAATAGGAATGGAATATTTTATTTTGAGATCACGAGGTGTTTACAAGAATTTATGTTTCTTCATTCATTAACTTGTTCATATGTGTCTGATACAAAGCTACACATGGATTTAAAAAAGAAGATTGTAATGACCTATTAATTACTTAATCGTCAACAGGCAAAGAAATAACTTTCATTAAAATACAGATTCAAAGGTGTTTTTAAAAAAGGGTATGATCTTTACATAGTATAAAACAAAGTCGCTTCCCGCTGTCTGTCCCTATGTATGATTAGATCTTCCAAACCACGCAACGTTTGATGCGGGTTTTTTAAATAGATAGATTGATTCAAGAGTAGAGAGACACTGATAATTTTAGAGGTTTCTAATGCAATCTCGTAAATAAACACATTTGTTAGCACTTACATTGAGAAGTGGTTAAAACCTATGAAGCGATTTTAAGCATCACAGCATTAATCCTTATCCAATTAAGTAGGTAGGTACCCTTAATACATTGTGCTTTTAATGTAAATTAATATGGCCCTTTACTTTTCGAAGATCTTACATATTTAAAATGCAGGGACGTAGCGGTGGCGGCGATACCAGCGGGGGGTCCAGTAGCTAATCTGATCGGTAACTGAAAAGTTGAACGTGGGCCAAATTTTGTCTCACCTACTGCTTTTATCTTATTTTGGCTTATTCATTTTATAAACGCTCTCCACAGAAAGTAAATATTCATCTTTCTTATTTTACTCTATTTTATTTACTATTTTATCGCTATTTTTTATAAACTATACTAGGATAAAATTAGAAATCAAATTCAACAGGAACTAACAAAAAAGCTGGTGAGTAGAAGAAGACTTGATAAGGTTAATAGAAGAACCCACATAATATTAATTACTGTATATTTACTAAGTCTGTTCTTAGAATTGATATTGTATTAATATTTGACCAATTAAGAGACGAGTATATCAATATATTTATCGACAAGAGCGTTTTGTTACCTGTTTTTCAAAATGTTCATCAATATGGGATCTGGGATATAGGTAGGTAATATCTACAAAATCATAGATGCCTCACCAAAAGGAACAAAATTAGGCTTTCCCGGCACCTAAACTTTCATTAAGATTTCCAAAAAGTATCTCTTATGAATTGACCAATATTTCGAAAAATTCAGTAATTGAAAACTTTTTTAATTAAATTCATTATTCCTCTAGTAATGCAGCCAGCGAAGTGATTTATTGTCACTTGTGTGATGATTTATAATTAAATGCAAAAGTTAATTTTCTCAACAATTTATTATCAAAAGGTATAAGGTGTGTTATTTACTATGGCAATCTTAGCGAAGTGATTTTGAGAATTTTATATAGTACTTGTAGAAAGTGCATTGATTTTATTTTTGTTATCTTACAAAATAGAAAGGATTGTTCGGAAAATTGATTACAGTTTTCAAAAGTTCCTATGTAAGAAACCAAGTGTACCTACTTTTAACACATGATGTATATCCAAAATATTTTTCAAAACACTGAAGAAGGTAGGTAACTAAGATTTATCAATAAATCAAAATAAGTAGATATACCTACCTACTGTTTTAATTATTACCCCATTTCTAACAAAAATTACCTAAAGTAATAATTATAAATTTTAAAAAACTTACAGCTTCGCTCTTGCATGCAGTTCACAAACGGTGAAACATTTCGTGTCGTCAAATTACCAAAATTTTTGTACAATTTTGGAAGTGCCCTCGCCATCCTAACCTCAATATATCACGAAAACAAATAGTCGACTAAGCAGCACACAAGCGACACACCAACGAAGTTGTAAACTGTGAAACCAGTCCACAACAGCGATCAAAAACCAAATGGACGGCAATACAAAAAAAATCTCTAGCTCATTACAGAACCAACACCCTCCATTTCCAGATGATACGCGTTTAAACGATACTTGTCGATTCCAACGGCACGTATCACTAATTTTATTCAGGGTCGGATTCAGATATATGGTGTATTGGGGCCCGTGAATTGAAAGGGAATATTTACCGATGGAAATCACTCAAAAACATTTTTATAGCTGATATTAGGTGAAATCAATGGCTAAGTGAGGCTCTACTTCACAGAGAAGATGCTTTAAATTTGATCCTTTTTACCAGTTCACTAATTATAGAACAAATTCAGGTGAACTGTCACACACTCTATCTCTCTCTCTGAATCTAAATCTTCTGGAGCGAACGGGAATTTTATTCAACAATAACCATTTGTTAGTATACATTACTCACATGGTGGTGACATAAACACAAAGATATTTGTAGAAGCCTGTAATTCTGATACTGCATAAATCACTTTTGTATACTCGTGTATTACAAAATTAATGTTTCTTGGAATTTAACGAGATTGAATTATTCTATTTGGATTCACACCGACCCAAGGCAGTTATCTTTCCATCTATCTCGTCCAATGAGGATTTTTTCTGTATAACAAATAACCATTATTATAAGACCTATTACTTATAATATTCTCGTGTGTTATTGTATTACTCCAAAAGTACTTTTATAGACTAGTATTAATATTTAGCACTTGATTCAGACTTTATTTGAGTACAAACATATGAATGTTGACATTGAAATGATGAATTATCTACAGATAAGTGATTTTTTTATGTTGAAATTATTCATGATAATAAATGATAAATTTTCACAATTAATTTTATTCGAGATGGTTTCCCTATACGGTAACTTCATCAGCCACATATGCATCTAATTATTCTACCATTTTATATAAAAGTAGGTGTGAACATTCTTTAATTACTATTAAGGATAGTGTTATTAATTTTCATCAAGTAACGGGTCAGAGTATTCATAATTATATTGAAATATTCAAAACATGACAAATTTCACACAATTTGGGTAAATTCAGTGTATGAGGTATAAACAACTAAATCAATTTCAATAAGTTGATTTATGGAATAACACTAAATAATTGACAATAGACACTTCTCATCAAGCATCAGATTAGTTAAATTGACTAAGTGAAAGTAGGTACTCAGTTATCAAAATCAGAGGGAAGGGGAAAAGTTTTGCTATAAAAGCAGCAGGACTGGTCAATTAGTTATTAGTTCCAGTTTTTATTGTGAGTTGTTCAATATGTTCCGTTTGTTTCCTGCTATTGCCGCTTCGTGGTACAATTTGATTCCTCTACCAACGGAAATATGGATCATAATATTACGGATGTTGGACCCTTGTTCATTAGTTGCTGCCACCAGAGCCAATTCGCAATGGATGAATATTTGCTCCGGGGATTCTGTTCTGAGACAAAAAATTCGAGAAGGAATGGAGCTTGAGACAAAACACAATCTGGAGGTTACCCTAGATCCACGGACTACTATCCAAACTTCTCGATTGGGTAGTACCGAAAGGATGTTTTTCCGCAATATGAGAAAAACAGTAGTCCAAAAGAGGTCACGAATCCAGATTGAGCCAATTCCAGTCAAGAAGAGAAAGATGTTGGTACAACTGACTCCAGACGATCAGGAGATGAAAACGAAGAGAGTGAAATATAGATTATGAATGACTGTGAAATTTGAAACAATTTTGTGACTGTATGATTTTAAATAAAGTTCACACTTTTTATTTTTTCTTGTCATTAAAGTACTTTGTCTTGTGAAAAATGATTATAGAATTGAAAACATTCAATTTGACTTTGTGTATTGAAACAAAATACACATTTCATTTCTCGTTATACCAAAAAATGGTCTGAAACTGAAAACGTATAGAAACTTTTTCGACTTCTCTAGTTTCATTCGATGGTTATGAGTATTTTTCAGTGTACCACTTGAAAACGTTTCAATTTATTTCATATGATTTCATCAGAACGGATAATCGATTTTTTATACATATGACAGGAATTCGATATAGTGTTGTGACTCATTCCCTAGGAAAATATAACGCCGGGCGCCGCTGCTCTTCGTCAATCGACTGTGACTTGACGAAGGTCACGCTCAATCTTACTTGCATTTCTCAGTCGTTCCAGGTGCCGTGTAGCTTCGAGAATATTCCTGTCGGTTCCCGAAGACTTCCATTGGGATATATGAGCACTACCAACAGGCAGAAAGTCGAGTTTAACTGTATAGTATGGTCAACGATCGTCGAACTCACGAGGAAAACGCAACAATATATTACTTTTGAACTTTTAATGAAATTTGAAGTCAACATGACCTTTTGACAGGTTTTTGAAAAAAATGTAAACTATGTTTAAGAATATAATATTAATTGTGCAGAAACAAAATTCATACCATTGAATTGGCGCCAATGTTCGAGAGACGTAAGTGAAAGTATTATGGTACTATAATGAACGGGGAGGAGGGGATATTCGCTTCAGTGAACAATTTTTACCTATAAAAGCTGTGGGACTCATCAATCAGTTATTAGTTCCAATTTGTTTTGTGACTTGTTCAAGATGTTTGACTTGTTTTCGGTTATTGCCGCTTCCTGCTGCCGTTTGGTCCCCCTACCTACGGAAATATGGGTGATAATATTTCGGTGAGTATTTTTTTGATTCTGGAATTTCATATAATGATTATCTATCTATTTTCGATTATTTAACTAATATGACGTGTTTGTCTAGGATGTTGGACCCATGTTCATTAGTTGCTGCCACCAAAGACAATCCGCAATGGATGTACATTTGCTCCGGGGATTCTGTTCTGAGACGAAAACTCAGAGAAGGAATAGAACTGGAGAGAAAACAGAATCTGGAGGTTATGCTAGATCCACGGACTACTATCCAAACTTCTCGATTGTCAGGGATTTCAAATCATTTTATATAGTAGACAATGGAAGTCCGAACTAGTGAAATTCATCACGAAACATTGTCAATCACCTTCAAACAAATGGTAATTAGTCTTCTGAAAAATAATTATAGGAATTCAAAACAAATGTTTTGACTGCGTGAATTGAAACAATATACACACTTTTATTTTTTGTCATACCAACAAATGATTTGAAACTGAAAGCTCGTGGAAAACGTTTCGTCTTCTCTATTTTAATCCGATGGTGATAATAATTTTTTAGTGTACCTCTTAAAAACGTTTCAACTTATTCCATATGGTTTTATCAGAACTGGTAATCGATTTTTTATGCATATGATCAGAACTTGATATAGTGTTGTGCCTTATTCCCTGAAAAACAATAATATGCTGTAATATGCTTCGTTTCAAAATTATATCCTTGAATCTGTGGTGGAACTGTTAACACCGAAAATAATAAAAGGTTTTCCTAAGAGGTAGATTATGAATTTTTCTAATACCCAAACTATGGCTAATGCTTCGCGTTCATTTATGGTATAACATCTTTCATGGTCCATCATCAAGCAACTCGCCCACACTACCAGCCGACGTTCTCCATCTAGTCACTGAAATGACTGGACGCCTAACCCTGTACCACAAGCGTTTGTCGCTAGGCAAAAAGGAATTTCAGTTTGTGGATGGTAGAGTAACGTATTCTGAGCTAGAGCTGTTTCCAGTTTCTCAAATGCATTTTGTTCTCGTTAGTCCAGCAGCAGTTTGATTCCTTTAGTTAAAGATCCCAAAAATCTCTCCTTGAGTTCTAGAAGGGTTTAGCCCTATACCGGTAGAACTCAACACGTAGGTATACTCTAGATAAGGTATTGTTTCTTTAAAACAAGAACATGTTTTTTCTCTTGAGAGTGAACACTGCTAGTTGTAGACGTGAAAGAACTTTCCGGAGAAATTATGTGGAGAACATCTTCAAAAAAATTCAAATACACCCTAACCCAGCGCTGCATGACTTCCACGGCACTGAACGAGAATGACTGCAGACTACACGAGAGGTACAAGCACCAGAGGTCGACGAAACAAAATCAGAGACCACCTCTGTGAGTCGCCGTCCGGCGCTTCAGTGAGTAAAAAACACACACACAATTCTGTACATTGCACACAGGCATTCCCGTGACCATTCGGGCCTAGAGCACTATGTATCATGCAAACATTAGTCACCATAGAGTCAGGTACAATAAACACAAACAGATAAGAGGTAATATACCACCAAAGGCTGATTTCCAACCAAAATAAATCAGATATCAATCGCTGACGGGCCAAGCAACAGGTTGAGTTCTGCTCGGAAGCAAGATAGGATGGACGATATAGAGAATCTAGTTTCTGCCCACACCCCAGTATGAGGACATTTCTTCGGGCACTCAACCACGTGGGAACGATGAATCAGTTCCACTTTTTTGTGTGCACCCATTCGTTTTCTGTTAATTGTTATCTTTCCATTCTCAATAATTTTTCACCATTACCCTTACCTCCAAAAGTTCAGACTTACATTCTGCTACCAGAGTCATTCTGCTATGGTTAGATATTTGCTTAGAGAGTTCTGTTGTTACGGTACGATTTTGTTTTGTCATAAATTAAACATATTATTTATACTTTTGATAATCAGATAGTTTATTCATTTCCATATGCTCATTTATGTATATTTGAAACTTTTCTAACCCGTCTATGACACCAACTAGGTCTGTAAATAGGTTTTGTTCTTTTTTCCTCACACACACAAGGGCATAATGATAAGGCTATTTGTAAACACACCGATTTTGTACGGCCAGTATAAAATCGGTCGATATTTTATTGGTAGCGGGTGCTTGCAGACTCACCGGATTTTTGTCGATCAAACAATCAGTTGCTTTGTTGTCGTGACACGAGGTTATTGAAAAATAATGAATCCTAAATGAGTTGTTGCAATGCGGTTATTGTATCGCCGTATTAAGCGCAAGTGCTGAATTCATCCTATCAATCAAAACAGAGAACACACGGGAACATTCTACACTCTTTTTGAAGAACTGAGACGTGATGGTAGTAAGTTTTTCAACTTCTTCAGAATGTCTATTGCATCCTTTGACGAACTCCATGAGAAGTTGAAAATTGATATCTAACATCAGAATACCAAAATGAGAAACTCTATTTCTTCACGAGAAAGGCTTGGTCTAACATTGAGGTAAGTAGAAAATCAATATAAAATAATTCAATGCTTTCTCTCAATAAAAAATAAATATAACCACGAAATGCCTACCACAATAAAACAAAAAGTCCAAACAATTCTGATAGTTGTTCTAACTTTTTTTTTAATGGTTGAAATCACTTTACAACAACCCAAGAGTTTGCGAGCTTGAGGTACCACTCAAGAAAGTATAGAAAACAAATAAACACACAAGTTATTTTTTCAATTTATTTTTATTGAATTGGTGGGTTTGGCGATTTGCCGACTGGGTTTGGGACTGTTGTGGTTGGAAGCTGTTAATTGCGCTGAATTGATTGGAATAAGACATTAGTGATGTGGAAAATGATTGATGCTGAGGGAAGGGATAGTTGTTAGGATAGTAGGAAGGTGTTTGCGGTGGAAGGGGTTGAGGTTGAGTAGTGTTTTTACGTTTGTTCTTTATTTTAGAAATAACTTCCAAAACACCCATTTGGAATTCAAGAATTTTAATAAACCGTGGATTGTAAACAAGAGATTAGGACGAATAATAAATGACACACAGGAAACTACTTACTAAATGCATTTTGTTCCTTATCCTCCATAACCTCAAAATTGTATTTCAGAGCGCAGCAAACTTCTCTCCATGCATCCCTGGTAAGATTTCTGTCTTTAAATGTATCTATAGTCTTATCCCACAAAACAGGTCTTTCCTCCACTAACGAAATAAGGATATCATTATCAATTAAATCACCCATTGATATCGTAATCAGCATGCACTACCAAAACTGTTGATACGTAGTAACTACAATTTTACCGAGCAGTCGAGACTGAAATGGTCGATAAAAAACCGATGTATTTAGTCACGTACCTACGCCACTACTTCCCGGTACTGCCGGCGATACAGTGGCAGTGGACGGACGCTCACCGGTATTTTATCGGCGACGATCACCGGTCGGCGTGTGTTCCAGGTCCCGTTCCCACTATTGGAATTTGGACGAAAATTTTGCGGAAACGTATTTTTCGACAGTGAATTGGGTAAATATTCGTTTCTGGCGCACCCGACGATTTTGAAAAAATGTTTGAGTGAACTTACGTATTTTGATGCGTAGATAACGAATCCGAAAGAAAAAACGGCGCGCTCCCTTATTTATAAAGTTACGGCCTTTCAAAGTTCAGAAAAGGGCAACTTTCCAGCCTTTTTTTCACAAAATAAACTATTTAAAAACACAAGCATTTATTCACTAGGTCACCTTTACACCTTATTCCTCTTTCCTTTACGGAAGCTGCTTTTTGGTTATATATCTCTGTATTTTACGTTATTAAGGTTAATGGCATACTTGGTACGACTGATGCTGTCAATATTCCTAAAGTAATTCAAATGTTTTTTGCCTTCATTCTTTAGATCGTAAATTGGTTTTTTGTGGTCTATCAAGATAAGATATCAACCACCTTAAAACAAAGATAAGATGGATTTAAGAAGTAAACTAAGAGCATCTTATATTCCGCAAAATAATCCTACTGAGTATGAGTTAAATATAAAATAGTAACCGGCGGCAAATACCGACCGATTTTTTCTGAAATGTCACTAGTAACTAACCTAGAAATAGAAAAATGTCACCAGAACAAGCATTCGTTTTAAATTTTTCAAAAAAAATGTTGATTTTTCAATTGAAAAGTGTCAATTAAGGAGGAATAAGGTGTAAAGGTGACCTAGTGAATAAATGCTTGTGTTTTTAAATAGTTTAT